TAGATTAGTTCTGCATGAAACGGAAACGTAATCATTTTTACAAGTTATATCGTATCAAACCCAATAACATATTCGTTTTAACGAGTTCTATCAAACCCAAAAACATATTCTAACGAGTTGTACTCTATGCATGAAATGGAAACGTAGTCATTTTTACAAGTTATATCGTATCAAACCCAATAACATATTCGTTTTAATGAGTTCTATCAAACCCAAAAACATATTTTAACGACTTGTACTCTATGCAATTAAAGTTGTACCGGTCCAAACGGGTCCAAGAACCAGAAAACTCGGACCTGGACCCGGACCCGGACACGGACACGGACACGACTCATCGGTCCGGTCCACGGTCCACAATATTATCCATAACCGGTCTGGTCTGGTCCGGTTCGGTCCAAATGCTCACCCCTAAAAACAAGTTTATGCTTCTGAACAATGTATTGTAAAATATTCTAGTTTCGTATAAATATAATCATGGGTTTTTAAGGTCAACACTATCATATTGTTGACTACTTTTTTGACTAGTTTTAACGTTAGATCTACTCTTAGACTTAATGCTAATTTTGGCACTTGACTTGGTCCGACTAGAAGATTCATTTTTTGTTGGATCCGCGGGAAACTAAGCGTCACAGTTTCTACTTGTGTGACCGATCCTTTGGCAACAGATGCATATTTTTTCTAATCGGAGATTCGTCTTGGGATGAGATACAGTTATGGTTTCATAGTTGTCTAACTTGTCATTTGTCCATCAATCGTAGTAATACAACCATCACTTCATCTGGTTCTTCGTATTCAACTGGAATTAGGAAACACAACCTCTATATATTTTGATCGATATGTTTCCATTGTGAACTACGATGACACATATGTATTGCAATGTTGGTATCTCAGTTCCTTGAATACCTCCATAACATGAGAAAAATGTATAGTAGGTAATTTTTATTTCCTACATGTGCTACAACGAGATTCCAAATTTACTATATAATTTTTCATTTGGTCGGTCATCTCATGTCTTCTTTTATCAATCAGTTCACATTAAAATTCCATATGACATTACAAGAATATCCTTCAAAATTAAAGATTAGAATTAAACCAATTTATATTAGGATTAAACCTAATTAAATATTAAAAAACTTATTTCCGTCAAAATTCTATGATTGAGTTTTGTTTCAATAAGTCCAGTTATGGCTTCTGTATGACTAATATAGAGAACTAAAACGTGATTTATATTTGGAGGTCTTCACGATCAATCCACCCTAATAAATAAAAATGATTTTGCCACATGTCATTCTCTCATTCAATTTGTCACATGTCATTTTTTCATAATTTTAAAATATATTTATTTTCCACTTGTCATTTATTTCATTTTCCATTTCAAATGTATTATTAATTAGTTTCCATAAATTAAACCTACCATAATGATATTAATTTTAAATTTTAAATTTCAATTTCAATTTCAAATAAATTTACAGTTTAAACCTTTGTGTTTAACATTTTGTTATAATTAACCTGTTTAGTATATAGGTCTGATAACTAAACAATAATTTTAATTTATTTATTTTTTGCATGTTTTTTTTTCTCATAATTTTTATTTATTTTAAATTTCGAATTCAATAAACTTCTCATTTAATCGTTTATATTTAACATTTTGTTTTAATTAACCCGTATAATATACGGGTTTCACAACTAGTGAAATAATAAAATGACATGTGAAACTCTTGATCTCATAAATGGCGATCCAAGAGATTTTTTTTTTTTTTTTTTTAAATGTTCCTTTTCTATCTTTTTCCTACATGCCATTTTGCCCTCCAAACTTAAATTATAAAAAAGAAAAAATAATAAACAATGGAAGAGTATACTATAATTTGCACATGTTCCTCTTGGTTATACTTAGTGTGATTTTTTTTCTCAAATTATATCGTGTTTCTATGAACGTTTGGTTTGACATAATATGGCTGATTGAAGGGATTAATCCTACTCAAAATGGTTTAATCGTAATCTTTAATTTGGAAACGGTCAATTTAGTAATATCATATCGTATTTTGAATTTTAAATAAGTTTTTTTTTTTCAATATTAAATTAGTGTAATATAATCACTACATGAATACGGAGCTATTGCGACGACACCTATCCCGACAACGCAAGTCGTCGCTACAAGTCTATCTATGCCGAAGACATGTCGTAGCCATACGTTTTGCCAACTTTGACCAAATTCCTTTGACCGAGATATCAATGTCGACGACATGTCGTCGCTACAAGTCTGACGAGAATGACCAAAATATTCGCGGTATTTTGGAAATCTCAACGACGTTATTTAGAGGTAATAAAATATATTAGTATTATTTAAAATTGTAATTAACATCTATATAAATATATTTATTGTTTTTCATTTATTATAGGATCAAATGGGACTGAAGCCACAAGATATTAAGGGTTGGAGACAAATGCGCTACAAAGAAGGTCCGGGTTGGTGTACAAGTCGAGCACACCAAGATTGGGTAAGTGATAAACGAAATGAATACGGTGTTTAAATTTAGTTGTTTGTTTTAATTATCATATATTTATTGTTTTCTTTATTTTAGGAGAAAATTAAAGACGAATATGAGAAAATGCAAAACAAGGTCAGGGAAGGAGGAGAAGTAAATGAGGAAGAATGTTTAGAACGTGCCTTTGGGATGAGACGCGGACATGCTCGCGAAGTGGATAGGAGACCAACCGTCAACTTCGGTTTATTTCCAAATGAATGACCTTCCACTTCCAAATCATCCCAATCTCAGCCAAAATCGCAATCCCAATTTGATGCACAACAAATGCAAGAATATTTGCAATAATATAATGCATCATTGCCAACATATATTCCGAACTTCCAATCACCACCATTTCCTAACTTTCTATTCAACTCTAACACACAAGGAAGTACCTCTCAACAATTTGTCGAAAGGATGGAAAAAGAAGAAGAAGAAGAAGAAGAAGAATGCAACACTTGGTTCAAGTACTATTCAATTTTAAGCATTTTAGGGTTTTTGACTGGAACTTGACAAGATGGGGAGCTCCAACTTGTCATCTAGGGATCATTTTGGACACGAGATTAAGGGCCTACTCGACGAGTTGGAAGACACCAACTCGACGAGTTGATGCTGGGAGGGAAAACCCAAAATTTCAGGGCTTGTACCCTATTTAAAGGCCTTGAGCCTCATTAGTAGCCTCCCTTATCGCCCCTATCGTCCAGAGAAACCCTAGTTCACCCATTTCCTCTCATTTTGTGTGTGCGAGCTTGGACACTAAATTTTTGTGCTCTTTTGAAAGGAACTAGATGCTTGAAGAGGTTAGATTGGGTAGAAGCCAGTAGATCCGGGATTTCCACCAGTGTTGCAGCTACATTGAGGTATAAAGTCGAAACCTTGGCTTTTTATTGCTTAGATCTTCTTCTATGAAAGTTTATGGCCACTATTAGCCTAGTTTGGGACTATTCTTGGATATGAGCATGATATGAAGATTTGGCTTCAAATCTGGATATCTCAGCGCCTTTGTGGACTTAAAGTTGCCAACTTTATCAAGTCTTGGCCCTCCTTCATGCTTTAAGACCCTTGATTATTTTGTTTAAGCATTTTTAGCCCTTTGATGCCTTGCATGGATGTAAATTTAGCAACTTTACGTGTTAACTTAAACCTAGGGGACTGGATATGTAATTTCGAGCTTTAGATTCGACTGAAAAGGGCTAAAGAGGTTAAGACTGGGAAAACAACTAGAAAAACAATCTTTTACGACATGCAATGCGTGTCGTAAAATGCTCAGACGACATGCACATGTGTGTCAAGGAATGCCCTATCATAACGGGAGACGACACGCTTTCGCACGTCGTCTGTTTACGACACGCATTTACGACGTACATTTATGAGATACAATGCATATCAAGGAAGCCCCTGTCATAAAGGAAGACGACACACATTTGCGTGTCATGACCTTACGACGTGCACATTTACAACACATTGTGTATCAAGGAAGCCCCTGTCATATAGGAAGATGACACATCATTGCGTGTTGTATCATTACGATGTGCCTTTACGACTCGCAATGTGTATCATTAAATCTACTTTCTTAAACGAAGATGACACGCATTTGCATGTCATAAATTCCAACTGCTAGTGACTATACACCTTTACGACGTGCATTTACGATATACATTTACAACGTGAATACACATACTAAAAAAATAAATGTATATACCAAAACATTCATTTTCATCTAAACGTCAAAACAAGTTACCTAACAACATTACATATATGTCCAATTACCTAAGTTACACTACATGTCAAGTTACCTAAGTAACATTACTAAAAGTTAACAAAAACATGTACATGTGTGTCAAAAGACTACCTAGCATTACACCACATGTCAAAAGATCATACCTAGCATTTCACTGTTAACCATAATATTGTTTTTTAGATACAAATATCATCAATAAATGAAGCCTGTAACAAAATCTGACCATTCTTCATTTATTTCATCGATATCATCAGCTTTGTACTCACGTTTGCCACTCCCAACCTGAGAAAGAATTTGCATATTGTTTTTATTATAGAAAAGTTGCATATTAACATATTTTGTAATAGTAAGTTGCTATATTTAACAAATAAACATAAAATGTAAATTATTCTTTCCTAATAGAGCATGGTACTTTCAAATGAATGAAAGCACATTGTTATTTTGCATGTAACCTAATATTTCAATTATAACTGTGAGAGTAGGATGCCATAAAATGATCCTTTTTTTCAATTCCTTTTCTATTAAATTATAGTAATGAAAGTAGAATGATATGTCCTTACATTGTCTTTGACCAACACTTCAATTCCTTCCTCAATTATCTCCTTCATGAACCTTAACATGTAGTAGCCACATTCAGTAGATCCGAGCTGAACTGGACACTACAAAATTACATATAAAAAGATCATTGCAATGGATCAAAAAAATAAAGTTAAAACTGCAATTTCAATAAGGAATTAAGTGTTGACCGTAACATTAACCCAATTTAGTTTAACCCTTCTGTTGGATCCACTTTGTGTAGCATACAAAACCATTACCCTATAAAAGCATTAACAAATAGGTCTTTATTGTATTCACATCAAATGTTTTGATAATTTATATTACTTACGAATCAACAATTTGCTTTAACTGCATATTGAAATTGCCAGAACTCAAGGAATCAAGATAATAGCAAGTATCCGATTTCATGTCTAGTACACCCAATACCCAATGTCTTCTACAAAAACCACAAACAAAATTAAGTCAAATAACATAATTGCATTCATTTTAAAAATAAAATGTCAAAATCAAACCTGGGATTGTAGGGCATAATGATGATGTCATTGCCCTTTCTAGTAGACAACCGATCTGTTAAGCCTCTGCTTGCATCGTCAATATTCTTTGATTTCCCTTTACACGTACTTGGCGAGATTACAACCGGGCTCACAAAGCAAATTCCATGATCTCTTTCTGGCGAGCCATACTTCATTTTGTTAAACAACAACTTGTTATCATGCAAACACTAGATTCATTAAATAAATTTTGTTATAAGACATAATGTTATTTAAATTAAATTTCTTACACTTACATCATATAAGACACAATGATAGCACCGGTCAGCTCATCCATTGTTAGAACTACTTCAAAATCATCCCAATTTAAGTACGTGTAACTATCATACCCAAAAAGATCGTTCTCACTCCGCACTTTTATAGAATCAACCTTTGTAACTTGTCCATCAGCCATCATTGCAGTCATTTTCAAAACACTACTCTTATAAATTCTTATCATTGTCTTCATTTGTGCTCTCGTCCACCTTCTTTGGAAGGTCACATTTTATTTCTCCTTCTTTTTAATCTTCTTTTCTATTCCATTCCCTTCTTCCATATCATTCCCTTGTTTTGGTCTATCAACCAATTTTCTAGTCCCATTTTCCTTCTTATTACTTCATATTTCTTCTTTTAAAGGTGTTGCATCTTTCTTCACTGGTGTTGCAAGTTTTTTCACAGGTTTCGCCACCACTTTTCCCTACGAGAATTATAAAAAATACAGAATGAAACAAGAATAATTTACTGAAGATGAAGAAGAACTCACTCAAATATCAGAAAAATTAAGAAAACCATGGGTAAATCTGTGAAAACTTTGTCTATTTTAAATCTGTGAAAACTTACTGTTTTAAAGGAGGATCTGTAGTATCTAATGGTGATACTAACATAAACAAGTCAGGATTAACAAAAACATGCATACACAGAAAATTATTCAAATAACTCAGGATTAACATAAACAAGTATCAACAGAACATAAACAAGGCAACTTGTTTTGTCAAATGTTAAAGGTGTATATGCAAATAGTATTACCATGTTAGAGCATCGAATAACTAATTGTCTTGGCCAACTTAGTATGTGTCCAAGTGCATCTTTGACCTTCACAATGAACTCCTCTTCAAGTGGAATAGGTATTAAAGCTTCTCCTTGTAAAATTGCTTCCATCATAACTTGAATGTTTTCATCTATTACATAAATGTAAAAAATAATTAAGATCCAATCTTCTAAAAAAAGAATATATATATATATATATATATATATATATATATATATATATATATATATATATATATATATATATAGTGATAATGCAAATATTTTTTCAAAATACCCGATGCACTATAGTTCATTATGGTTCCTTTAGCGACTACATTTGCAGCAAAGTCAACCGCAAGAAGACATGAATTATCCTACCAAAATATAGTATGTTAGTTTGTAGAAAAAGAAAATACTTTAAATATATTTTTCATAATTGTCTTCAAGGACTTATAAGTGATTCATCCGGTGGTTCTTTTTCAACATCTTCAATGATGCCCCCTACTTGGCCACTTACGGCTTCAAAAACATTAAGGGCGTGTTCGACAAAATTAGTTGGTAGCGGGTGGCTTGTAGTGGGTAGCGGATGGCTTGTAGCGGGTAGCGGATAGCTTGTAGCGTTTTGTTAAATGCTACATGAAGTAGCATTTGGATTTGGAGCGTTTTGTTTAAACTAAACGTTAGAAGCTTGTAGTGCCGAACGAGGCTTTATGTTCAAAATGGAGCGTTTTGTCAAACGCTAGAAGCTAGAAGCTCTAAAACGCTCTCAAACTCTCCATGCCAAACACGCCCTAAGTACACCTCTTTTTAGTTTCTCTAAGTCATCTTCAAGTTTGTTGATTTGTTTATCCACCCTCTCATTCTCAATCTCTAAGTAATACTTAACATTCTTGGGTAAATAAAAGTATTGATGTGGCGTTATAAATATACCCATCCATCGTATACGCCCACATTGTTCCCCAGTACCCAAGGCCTCTATAAGCACATTATGTGTTCCACAGGTAACCTCTCCAAAACTTCCTGATTTCTGCAGCTCATCCTGCAAAAAGAATTGGGACAAATGTTAGAAAAAAATGGGACAAATGTTAGAAAAAAATGGGACAGATTGTGTGTGAATCTATGGATAGATTCATGTTATATATATATATATATATATATATATATATATATATATATATATATATATATATATATATATATATTTGAAATTTAATGAAACTTACATTTTTATCAACAATCATCTTGACATTTGATTCGTATCCACTTGTCTTCAATTCTCTTGCTTTTTTCCATAATAATGTCTTATCAATCTCCTCTTCCGTCTTGCCGCTTTCTTGCATCTAAATTATCAAGAATAACAAAGTCAATTAACATAAATATATATGAGTAAAATAATCAATACTTTGTGAGATTCATACAATGTCATTAATGAGTCCGACATATCATTTTTTGCTCAAACGATGATTATATTTATGATGTGTACGAACATTTTTAGCTTTCATACTTTTGTACTACATTAGAAACATTAAAATTGTAACTCTTTAATTAGGATACAAAAAATTTCATTGAGCAAATGCATATAAGAAAATTTTAACAAACCTCCCACTTTTATGTAACTCTATGGGATACAAAAACTTTCCAGTCTTCTTTCTTTATAAACGGATAATCTTTCGGAGGTTTGAATAGATTTGCCTTGGGATCTTTACTTCGGTTCTTAATGAACTTGGCATATAGATAATGTTTGAAGTTTCTCCACTTCTTCCCGATTGATTGGAGAGTTTGCTTCTGACTCTTTGGGTCAAATACAGACTTTTACGGAAATATAAAAAAAGGGTTATCCATTATCTACCATTTATAAATGTGTTCTGTAAAATTAGTGTATTTAAGTGTTTACACATATTGTTTGGAATTAATGACATTGTGAGTCCTATATTTTATTCAAATAAAATATGAAGGGCAATATGGTAATTTCCTTAAACACTTCTAGTGTCTAGACTAATGACATTTTGAGTCCTATATTTTATTTTATGCTCTAATCCTACACTGAAAATGACATAAACCAACTAAATGCTATAAGAATTAAGTTGCAGGTTCAACTTTTGCCTTTGTGCACAAGAAATTCAAACTAAAGAGGGACAAAAAGAGACCTGAACAGAGGAGAGGTTACTTTTAGTGTAATCAAAAGTTTTGTAACGTGGACAAAAACAGATCTGAACAAAGGTATTAACGGGAAGAAACAGAGACTGCTTTCACCTTACACTTTGTGCACCACAGAAAAAATAGAAGAACAAGTAACAGGGGAATAAAGAATAAATTGGAAACAGTGGATAATATAACTTGGAAAACTTAGTTCCAGAATGAATTACAATGATACCTACATCCCATATTTACACCAATAAAAGGCATTCGACTCAAACTCTAAAACTAGAAGAAAGACAATTAAATTAAAAAAAAAAAAAAAAGATAACTTGAAGTTAAGATTAGATGTTAGACTTACCAAAACATATTTCCATAACCCTTCCTTTACTTCGTCACTAACTTCCAACCAAGACTCATAAGTTATGGGAACCATTGTTCTTGCAACAAAACCCTCAAAAGTATATAGTTTTGTGGCTTCCTTTCCAACCGAGACACCTTTTTTTTATTGTAAGTTACTACAAGTTTCACTTTATTAGCTTTTACATTTGTTGTTGGGCCTCTTTGTTTGGAGTCCTCATCATGATCAGAAGCTGAATCCGTTTCCATGTCACAAAAAACAACCTGTTTCACCAAGATTCAAATAAAATTAAGTACATTGTTATTTGTTGCACTTGGAAAAAAATTAATCACATTCAACATCTGAAATAAAAACATACCAAAAACTTTATTATTATGATTTTTTTTTTAACTAATATGCCCTCCCCATTCGGGCGTGTACAAAAAAAATTATTGTTAAGGTCTAATAAAGTGGAGTCTTGTGTTAAATCAAAAGTAGCATCAAGTTCCAACATATCATCAGTTTCACCATTTGATCCATACTTGGACATCTTATGTGGTGTAAATCCAACAACATGCAAATTCTCATCTTGTTGATCTTGAACATAAAAAACTTGTTTGACTTAACTAGCTAATACGAAGGGTTCAGACTTCTGACCAAGCCTATCAAAGTTAACAAACAGTGAATCCTAAATCATCCTTTTTTACTCCATGACTATCAACCCAATTACACATGAATACAAGAATAGTAAACATGTGATAATCAAGATCCCATATCTCCTTTATACGACCAAAGTAAGTAACAACACCATACACAGAATTGGAGTCTTTTGCACTAGCAATCTGCATAGTATGTGCAAATAAAGATACTCTATTGCATTGAGTTGTTCTAGACTCATCTTGAGATGTTGTATGAACATGATACTCATTTATGGCAAAACTGCTATTTTATTAATAGCAATATTAGGCCCTTTGCCAACCAACGGACATCATCAAAAATATCTTCCTTGTTAGCCAAACGTTTTCCAACCTATTACAAAAATATCTAATTAATGTAATTCAACCAAAATAATTAAAAATATTGTAATTCTAAGAATCTTATTTTAAAAATAAACCTCTTTCTTAAACCAACTAATAAATGTCTGACTATGTTGGCTCTGCAACCATGTACTCTTGCGAGAGTGACGGGGGTTGAGATCCTTCAATTCCATCATATGTTGCCTGAAGCATATTACAAGTTAGAAGAATGTTTTATATGATAGACATATAATGGTATAAGAGTATACAGTTTCATGTAATTCTTACTCTATATACGGCTCCACAACAATAGTGTTTCGTAATACATAAGGATGAGATTGATAAAATAACTTAGCATCTACAACACTGATTGTAGCCTTTGATAAAGGCTTGCCGCTGCGGATTCTTTCATCAACACATTCATGAGGAATGTTAATTGATTCATGTTTTTTAAGTAGTCTAAACAAAATTGTAAGGCCTCCTCTACCAAATAACACTATGCAATGAAACCCTCGGGTCGATGATGATTTCTTACATACCCTTTAAGTGTTCTCATGTATCTCTCAAATGGATACATCCACCTAAAATGAACCGGGCCACACAACATCACCTATCTAACTAAATGCACCATCAAGTGCATCATGACTTCAAAAAATGAAGGGGGAAAGTACTTCTCTAACAAACATAATATTAATACAATGTCACTTTGCAACTTTCCTAGCTTACTAACATCAACAACTTTACTACACAACTTATTGAAACAATGACACATACTTAGGATTGTTCTCCGTACCTTCACATCTAACAACCCTCTGATTGCAAAAGGGATAAGTTGTTGCATTAGTACATGACAATCATTAGACTTCAAACCATTCATCTTTGAAACATCATCTGAAACGAGATCCTTGAAATTTGAGCAATACCCATGAGGAACGTTCATGTTAGATAGGGTATCATAAATAAATGTCTTTCTACAGAATTCAATGTGTAGCACGTAGGTAGAAGCCAATGTTAATCCCCTTCTGGATAAGGTTGTAATTCAATCTTAATGCCCAACACTTCAAGATCTTGTAGTGATTTTAATCCATCCTTCGTCATGTGAGGCAAATTCAACACATTCCCATAAAGACTCTCAGTTACATTTTTTTTTCTATGTGCATGAGATCTAACTGATGACGAACAAGCAACTTCTTCCAATATTCAAGTTAAAAAAATCGACTTTTTATGCCAAAATTAAATCTCTCATCGATACTTTCTGTTTTCTTCTTTGACTTTTCCTTCTTTGGTGCTTCCTTCTTTGACTTTATCTTCTTTAACTTTATCTTCTTTGATCCTATCTTCTTTTACTTTATCTTCTTACCCTATCTATTCTCAAATCCCGCTAGATAGTCTTAAATATCTAACCTGATGATGGTTGTGGGGTAAAATCGTGCTCATGTTGATTGTTGAAATGTTTTTTTTTTCTTTTACGAAAAAGATGTTCAAGTGGGAGGAATCTTCTATGCCCAAGGAAACATACTTTTTTGGACTTTGGCAACCATTGTGAACAAGTATTCTTTGAACATATTGGACAAGCATAATAACTTTTGGTAACACATCCCGAAAGATTACCATATGTGGGAAAGTAACTTATAGTCCAAAGTAATATTGCTTTGAGATTGAACTATTCTTTCTTATAAGAATCAAAAGTCTCAATGCCAATTTCCCACAAGAGTTTTAGATCTTCCATCAATGGTGCCAAGTAGACATCAATATTGTTACCAGGTTGGTTTGGCACGGATATTAACAGAGTTAACATCATGAATTTTCTTGACATACACAAATAAGGGGGTAGATTATATGTTATTAGGATAACCAACCCACAACCATGTTTGGAACTTAATGAATTATGAGGATTGATACCATCATCAGACAAGGCTAATCTAAGATTTTGTTTTTCTTGTCCGAATTCTTTCCACGTGTTATCAACAAGCTTCCAAGAAGGGGTATCGTGAGGATGAGTAAGCTTCCCATTATTGACCTGACCTTGTGCATGCCAAATTAAGTCATGTGCAATTTGCGGTATTCAAAACATTCTTCTAAATCTAGGGATGATAGGAAAAGACCACAAAAATTTTGAAGGTACGTTTTTGGTATTCTTCTTCCAACGAGAAGTGCCACAAGTTGGATATTGAGAATCATCGTTATGTTTTTTCTAGAATAGAACATAATCATTTTCACATGCATGAATCTTCTTATATTGTAGACCTACTCCTTTTAGCAACTTCTTAGACTTATTTATCGAGCTAGGGATGGTATTTTTTGATGGTAAGATATATTTTAGGACAGACAACAAAGCATCAAAACTAGCATTAGACCATCCAAACTGATCCTTCAAATGTTGGAATTTCAATTATCCACTAAGTGCATTATACTTTGACCCTACATAAATTGGCTTATCACATTCTTCAAGAAGTGATTTCAATAAATCAGATACTTTGTCTACATATTTGAAGGAATCATGTAGCATATCCTTTGTATAAATAGCATCAGGAGTAATGGAATTGTTAGGACATCTAGAATCAAGCTTGGGTTGTTTTTCTCCATGGAAAGACCAACTCTTATAATTTTCATCGAAGCCGTGGGCAAACAAATGATAATGGACATTATGAATTAAGTGGTGACACAAATTGATACAATTTACACAAGGGCGTGGAATAACATCTAACTTTGGATTATTACTTTATGCAAACTCTAGAAAAGCATTCACACCTTCATCATATGCATTTGATAATCTAGTAGAGGAAATCCATGATTTATCCATTAAACATTTGTTTCCAACCTACATAATTATTTACCATTTAAAGTA